CAATGTTAATTGCACACACTATATTAAGACGACGAATAAATCCTAAGAACCACTATTATCTAATTTATCACATCTTTATGACAGTTTTATGGCAAGCTAGCACGTTCCCCGCGGCAGCTCTTGTTACTGGGACAAAAGACTTATTGGTAATATAACCGATCGGGGTCATGTATAAATGTCACCTACATACATAAACATCTGCATACATACAAAGTCTGAGTTAATGTTACATTAATCAATGTTAATAATTCAAAAATGTATGTTGTCAATGGAAAAGGTATGTGTGGGAGAGCCATGTTTCGGCACGAATGTGTCAGATCGACAGGAGTAAAACCACTGCTTCACAGAAAACCGGCGTGAAACAACGACACTGTTGTTTCACCATGTGAGTGAGGTTACCGGAAACCTAATCTTTCCCTGCCGTTAATTCCTTCCCAATCCTTAAATATTCGAAACCCTCATGGGTGTCCATGAGTGGCGCCGATTGCTTACCATGGTAGTCCACCTGCTCATATATTTTTCTTAAGTAACCATTCAAAAACAGGGGCGGAAAAGAAATGCTTTTAAAGAACAGAGAGTAATGATCGCTAAGATAAAGAAAGTTTGAAAACCAATGGTACATTGTGAACCACCAATATATTTTTACTAGCTACTCTCGCGCGGTTTCACCCGCTGCTCTATTTAATCATAGCGTGATGTTTTATAGCCTAAAGCATTCAGGAACATTGTAGCTATCTATCAGTAAAAGAATTTTGGCAATCCGACCAGCTGTTCCAAAGATTACCCGCTACATACAAACTTACTTTTACCTCTTTATAATATTAGTATAGATAATAACTATCGTGAGACATACTAAATTAACTAAGAATCGCTGGGGTCTCACATGTATATACTGAGAAAAGCTCTACAAGTTTCGAACCACAGAGGGGTTCTTCATCATAAGCAGCGTGCGCGGGCGCGGCGATATCGCGCAGCCTACTGACGTCTTAGTTAATTTAGCTAACCAATATACATACGTTGGGATTTTCTTCCATTGTTTAATCGCCAGTAAACTTCACCGATCGATGCAAGATTAAAGACGTCAACAGCTGATTATTATCGTCGATTTCTTAGTCTAATCTGTAGTTATGATATGATTTGGAAGCTAAAACAATGCAATGTTCATATTTCTATTGCGGTATGAACGAGTAAATCATAAAGTTGACCTTAGTTACCTCAGCACGTCCGCGTGACGTATGAAAGGTATGATGAGAAACCTAGCCTTAGATATTCGATAGTTTCGGCCAACCGCCGTCGACCTCAGGGAATATGGCCGCCGTACCGTACGTACTTATTTATTGACACCAATGAGAATATATATATGATGTTTTCTTCTATTTTTATAAATAGACTTCTACTTGGTAACTATATTTTTATAGTGACCCAGTTGGTTGCGACGTGAAAGTTAAATAAAGGCTGTAGTGTTCAGTACAGCTGCTAACTAAAGTAGGTTACCACCATAAAGTTTTAAATGAAAACGTTTTTAAACTAAGAAACGAGTGGAAATGGCAGTGAAGTAAGATCACTTTTACCAATTAGGCATGTAATGTCTTTTTTAAAATTCTATTGATGTTCAAAAGTAACTAAAAAAAGTTAATTTTTAGATCCTAAAAACCGAATAGGAATCGAAACCAGATTCAATACAAAGTCTAAACCCGACGAATACTACCATAAATATTCTAATTTTCTTCTTTATTTAAGTAGGTATATAATATAACAAAGAAAGAAAATCAGAGTACCTCAATAGTTAATTATTATGGAGAACGAATAAAATGTTATCTTTCAGTTTTTCCCGTTAGGCAAATGGCGACCCCGAATCGGTTCCCGGTATTTATCTTAAAAGTCATCTTCAAATTGCTAAAAAAGGAATCTCAATGTTCACGACGGAAAGTGGAAAAAATAATAATCAGAAAAGGTCGGGGAAGATATCGTATTTAAATTGTCAATTTGTTGGTGACAATACGATTGTGCCTGGGGCCTTTGAGTAGGGAAGTCGGTTCTCGGAAGTACACAGGCTCCGAACAACAATGATGGTTCCCAGAGCCCTGCGTTCATTGAAAAGGTTTTACAGTTATAAGACTTTCATGTAACCTGATTTTATTTTTTCATTGTGAGGTTTGAAGGTCTTAAGATTTTTGTGGATTATGTTTATTACAATTGTTATGGCTGTTTCATTGGCAGTTAGAGTTCGGTTACCAAGGTCTTCTATCAAGGACTCGATAACACCACCGTTCAAAATATTATTTGGTTTCGAGAAATTCTTTTTTTTTCTTTCTTTTAAAAAAACGTTGCCCCACACTAGGAGTTTCTCCTGTGTCGTGGGTGCGGTTATAAACATACATTTTCACATACACATGACACCCAGACCCGGAACAACAATTTGTGGATCACACAAACAGTTGTTTGAATCGACACGTTGCTCGGCAGCCAGTTGCCCAGCCACCGCACCAACCGTGCAGTCAAAAAAATATCAACTAGGTATTGTGCTTGTGTTAGATCTGATATTTACTTAGGTAAGTAAGCTGAATAGGGAATCACACCTAATCTTATTAATTTAAATCAAAATTTACTCAACGTAGATAAATCTCTCTACCAGTACACACACAAATATAATTGCGTTTGTAAAGGATATCTCCGTAAGAAAAAACCCGGTAATAAACAGTTGAACAGTTCTCTCACGCCAACCTGTTGGACGCAGGGATACTAAATAACTAATGTTATTTGTGTTCATTTCTGAATTCCATTGCTTCATTAGAGACAAGTGTAAAAGCTGTTATTGCTTGCTGCTCATTATATTAACTAGAACCAGCCATAAAAGTGTACATGACATAATAAATAGCACACTGCAAAATTACTGCACGGTTGGTGTCGGCTGGGCAACTGGCTGCCATGTAACGTGTCGCAGGTTCGATTCCCGCACGGAACAACTCTTTGTGCGATCCACAAATTGTTGTTCCGGGTCCGGGTGTCTTGTGTATGTTTGTGTCCACGACACAGGAGAAAATCTTAGTGTAGGGCAACATTAAAAAAAAATTGATGATTCAAAGATCAAATTCTTTTTAATAAAATACAAATAACAGCTGAGCAACAAACAAGACTTAATTTAACACAAATAATGAAGTAGTAACGTTACCGTAAACCCTTATTATTTCGGATTGAAATTTGAAATAATATGTATAGGTATGTTACTTTTAACCCATGAGAATGCACAGCACCAAAGAGGTAAATAATTAAAAAAACATTCAATTTTTCACCTAGGGGCGAGAGTTAACATTATTTTGACTTTTATTCTAACAAAATGGAACTTTCATTGTTCACAATAACATCTAAAGTATATTTGTATGTAAACCAACAACATCTTCAATTAAAACACACCCTGTAGCAACGCGTGATGGCCCGCAGTATGTCATAACTGTATAACGATTTAATTACAATTGCTTGTAAGTAGTTGTTCGGGTAGTTTCCACAACAGCCCCATTCAATATTACTGCTCGTCACGCCAAATTAAATGCTACTACTTACTTACATATTGTTCCGTGGCACGATACTTAGTTAATGTCAATAACCTACACTGCTTAAAGTAAACATTTAGGTTTCACATTAAATTGTCTAGGACAAAATTAGCTATCGTTATTTAGATGAATGTTACTTTTATCTAATCGTTTTTACAAGAAGAATTGTCTCTTATAAAGGAGATGAAAAAAATAATGTACCTACCCCTGATTTTACAATGAAATATTGATTTTTTTTTAACAAATCGGCCCTATAACTGTAATTGTAAATGTCAAAGTCACATATTGAAAAAAAAATCTAGATAAAGCCGACATTTTCTATCTATCTACCACACTGAAAAGAAATGCCGAAACAAACACAGACTTCGGTCTTTTTTAAAGACAGGACAATTAAAAAAATATATCTAATAAAAACACATTGGAAAACAAGCTTAAAAAAACTATTGATAGAGTATATTGAATTTCCTTGGTTCACATAGATTCTCGTAATGATATCTAGGGTGAATCGCATCACACACAGAACAAATCATACAAGATAAGCTACAACAGAATGCAACAAATTTACCACATATTAGTGTAATTCATTCTACCGCAGTCCGGCTGCCTGCCAACTTGGAACTGTTCCGAATTGGACAGGTGTCAGAGCCACAAACATTACACCTGTTCTTACTGAGTACTCCATTTATGTAGGTAGCTACACCTGGTTAATCCAAGCTGGAACTTCAGAAATTTTGAATTGGATTATTGGTTTGTTTTGACATAGAACTAAAGTGGACGTTCGTCGTGGTGGCCCGGAGGTTAAGGCGCCCGAATTCATGCATGAGGGTGCGAAACCTGGCAAGTACCAATGTGACTTTTTCCGAGTTATACAATACTTTCTATGATTATTTAGACACCACTGACATACGGTGTAGGAAAAAGATCGACTTATAATTTCTAATTATAAAAAATTGAAATCGCCAATTCACCTTGAGCAAGCGTGGTGGATAATGAACCTTCTCCGTGTGAGAAGAGGCCTTTGCTCAGCAGTAGGCACTTATAGGCTGATGATGAGTGGACGTTCGGTTATCAGTGAAAGTTTTAAAGGAAAAATGATCATCGGATCGGTTGCATTATTTCATAACTATATTAGGTTAGTTTCCTACAAGTCGAATTCAATGCTTTTTTCTAAAAAACAACATTTTTCTTTAGCAGGTTATGAGTTCATATTTTTTTACCAGAAACAGCATACTTTTGAATTATTAAAATAAAATACGAATATAACGTATTTCGCAAAATTTATTAATGAGTGTGTGTGTTTTGAATATTTTTATGATTTTATAGCTTAAAATAATTTCTTTTTGACCAAGGATAAATCCAACACATGTCTTCTTTCCTTTATTAAACACAAAGTTTCGCAATCCGTTATACATTGAACATAATGTTTATGTGTCCGAGTTTGAGCGGGCGATGACGCAGCTTGCAGCTGAAATGTGTGAAAACCACGACGTACCGCACTACGCCCCGCGTATGCATAAACCAAGCCTAAAACTTAAAGCATTTTCACACTGCATCTGTACGTAAAATGTTGTCATACAAAAATCTAAGTCAACAAAACAGTAAGTACCTAATAAAACAGCCCGATTACTTCGCATTTTGCGGAATTATTAAACGAACTTAGATCAATTAGGTACTTTATAGTCGTCTCGACCTCCATAAAAAGCCAGGTCTTTGTACTCATACATATTACAAGAAAGTTGTAAAATATCCGCTGTTTATTCCAAGTATTTTACTTCTATAAACATAACGAAGTAAGTAAGGGCGGCTTGCAGCAAACGTCTTAACTTGATTTAAGGAATATTTAAATAGAATTTCTTGTTTATCTTTGTGAATCCTCTTGCACCATGTCATTTTAGTCGCTAATTGTGTTTAGCGTATCTGTCAAAGTTAAATAGCATCTTTTGGCTATTTAACGCGCCTAAACGCAATTAGCGCTATTGTTGTAGAACATATGTTTTGAGTTGAGAGTTGGATAGGTTAGGTTGTTTCCTTTCGTATTGTGTTGTTTCACTGCGAATTTGCTACGTTTTTGGAAAATGGATAGCTTTTTTGATTTATATTCCGATGACGATGAAGAAATAATTGAATTCATCAGTAGACCTATGATCCGGGAAGTGAATGAAAGGACAAATTTGTTCAATAGTCTCAGTGATAGTAAATTTGTACGTAGATTTCAGCTGACAAAAGAAACAACGTTACTGCTGTTGCATCAAATTGAAGATAAATTGAAGTTTACTTCACAGAGGAATAATGCTGTCCACCCATTAAACCAAATATTGTGCACATTAAGATTTTTTGCCACTGGCAGTCAACTTAACTTTGCTTTACTACTTGCTTAACCTCATCTGTTTTCTTACTTTCTATAATGTGTTTGTAGGGCTCCATAACTCTTATGAGAAGAAGTTGCTCCTCCTTATTAAAATTAGGCGCTCTTGATCTTGACTTCGTAATTAATGCACTCATTTTCTTAAATTTTAGTAAATAAATTCACACAGCAAAATAATCGCAGACTTGACAGTTGTGCTAAGTCAAAACAATAAACTGATACAAAATTAAAAAGCTCTCTGAATGCTAGAGCGTAACATACTGCCGAACGTATTTTAAACTTGGTCGGTTGTCATAACACGTCTCATTTCATGCACAGAATTCAATTTTTCAGGTTTCTACTTCAATTTTATGTGAAAAGAAACGTAAAGTACTATTTTACCGACGCGCTAAAGATATTTAACTAAATATCTCTTCAAACTGCATGGTGCAAGACGTAGCTAAATGCGTTTATGTTAATTATGTTTAGTATTTTAAACACATTTAGTTAATTACATTTTACCCTAAATACTATCGAGGTTTGGTGCAAGCCGCCCTAAGAATACATATGGAAATAGGTCGCCATTGATTAAGTTTCTCTCCTCAGTATATTTTCTTTTGCTCAATAACAACAAAGTTTCTTGGAAAACGTTTGGCTAATGTATTTCTTTTAATTTCGACGAATATCTTTGTAGTTGGTTTAGCTCAGTAACTAAAATATTTTCTTACTAAATGTCAACTGTTTATTCAGGCAAATGTTCTAAGAAATTGATGTTCTACCAGTAAATTGTGTTTGTCGATACAAACTAATATAAATATAAGACAAATTATTGTGTCTTAAACGTTTTTTCTATACCTGAAGTATAGAAAAAACGTAATGAATAATTTGTAGAGATGTTCAGGCCGGCCTCATAGATATCTTACAATATAAGACTTCGATGGCGAGTCCATAGCCGTTAACGTTTCTATGTTTTCCAAGCAAGTGTAATCTTTTTCATTTTAACAAATCAATAGCCTGTCAGCTGCTAAGCAAAGGCCCCTTCTCACACAGATATGGGTTGTTTTTACTCTGGCTTTGACTTACTGACCACCCTATGCCAGTTTCTAAAGTTTTAATCACATGACTCACAAACCAATTTTACCTCTAAGCGATCTCATGGTCATTTCTAACATATAACACAGAAAAACAACACCATGTATTTTAATGAAGGTCAAAGCGGTTGCAGAGATATTTCCAAATTTAACCCTAAATAGAGTGGGAAATAATCCACTTAATAACTTTCCAATTCCGATGCGCAAATATGAACACAATGCTAACTTTTGTTCGGCGACTGTCCGACAGTAACTGGGTAAAACAATTTCATTTGTGAAATTGCGGCTGAACGCTTCCTCGGCCTTTATTTAGATTGTGATTGGAAATTTAATCATCAGGAGTCTAAATATATAATTTGGACTTTAAATTAAGAGAGGTAGGATCAATTTTGGCAGTTGATTTCTTAATCACACTCTCGTTCTTTGATCTGGATATAAACATTTAGGGTTTTTTTTCTTTTTAGGGGACAACAATTCTCAAATGACTTCCCCTCTCGCCCAGGGTGGCAACTGTCACATGGTTATCTACCATCCTGTTCTTTGATCTCTCTTGCCCTGATTGGAGATTGTCACACGTTTACCTAAAAACACGCATAATTTTAAGAATGTTGGTTAGCTCGTAACTGGCTAATATATAAGTCCAATACTTTTAAATAAATAAAGACCACCCTATTTCTTCTCCTGCTCCGAAAAGGATCATTGCGTTTTACAAACAATCAGTAATAGGATAGGATCTTAATGATTAACTATTAGCTGGTGTTTATAATGTAACTAATGTTATATTTTACGTTGTCAGTAGCGTCGGTGTGGTGTGGTGTGCGCGGTGATGTCGTTATGGAGGTGGTGCTGCCGCTGGCGGTGGTGTGCGTGCTGGTGAGCGCAGCACCCAACGCGACGCGAGCGCGCCACCCCGACGAACTGCCCGAGGAGCCGGTCCTACCTGATGATGATGAGGAACTGCTGCACAAACTCGACTACTATGATGAGGAACGAATCAATATTTCAGGTTAGTATTACATTTTTGTGCTGGTCCTTCTGGTCCTTTTATCGACAATAAGGACCAAATTTTACATCGGTATTTAAGTGTGCGTGTGGTGAGTGTGTGTGGTGAGGTGAGTCTTGTGTGGTGTGGTTTTTACCTAAGTTTATAATAATATACCTATTAACTTGAACTCTTTGCCTACTAGGTACGTACAATTAGACACTTACAATTTGTATTTCTATGTATCGAGTACAAATTATATAAACGGTTCCAAACGATAAATGAGTCCAGGATTCTTAACGCTTCTTTTTCCTCAACATCACTAAACAGGAAACTCCCGCTTGATCAGTAAGAAACTAGGACTAGGTTACTGGGGCATATAAATGCTTTCTTGAATAAGTCCTTTGCAACTCAAAACGGTCGTATATGCGCAATTTTATCGAGAAGCACATAACATATTTGATTTATAGGTATTCGTGACTTTTGAAAAACTATTACTGCGGCAGCTTTCATACCAAGCAATGGAACTAGGTTAGGTTATGAACTAACTGTATTTATTCAACTCCCTTTGCGTTTTTCTTGTGACGTCACAAATGGCCGTGTTAAGCTGAACATACTTACATACATAAGCATCTACATACAAAAGGAACTTTCTTTTAACTAGTATGTAAATCTCTAATGTGCACCCAATCAAAAGCATATGATGTTTACTACTTCTCAACCATGATGACTTTCCGCGATGAATTATCAATTATTGCTTACTTCCAGGTGAGAGTAACTAACCTGTTAATTATTATGATACCTAGAGAAAATTCAGAATAAAATTAACGTATGGGACCTACCAGATTTCCTTCAAGAAATTGGTTTTATGTAATTTCCATAAATGTTAAGCAAGAAGATGGATAGGATATTACTTAAATAAAAAAGTCGACGCACCAATGCACCATCCATCCAACCATCCATCATCAGCAAAAATGACCAAACGAAAGCAATACATTCAACTATCACTCCCAAAATATTTCTTACATAACCACGACGAGGTGTCTTTTAACAAAATTCGGGACCAAAAGACCCTTGGGAAGGTCCATCACCCATGAATAAGGTAAGGGTCTCATAAATACGTCGTAAATTTATGCCCTTGTATGTACAGTACTGTATCTGCGCACCTTTAACAGGAAACCATAAATAATGGCTGATGGTTTTATGAAAATAAATGCTAAGATTGAGAAGTCTAACGTATATTTTGCATTTTTTGTATGTTTTCCTACACAAGATTTTTTTCCAGGTTTTTACAAATTAAAGTAAGTTAAGTGTGAGAGAGCCAAGCTTCGGCACGAATGGGTCGGCTCGACCGGAGTGATACCACGGCCTCACAGAATACCGGCGTGAGACAACCAAAGCGTTGTGTTTCGCCATGTGAGTGAGGTTACCGGAGGCCCAATCCTTCCCCGCCCCCAATCCCTCCTCAAACCCTAAATCTCCAAATCCCTAATCCCTAAAAGGTCGGCAACGCACTCGTAACTCCTCCGTTGCGGGTGACCATGGGCGGCGCTGATTGCTTACCATCAGGTAATCCGTTAGCTCGTTTGCCGACCTATACCATAAAAAAAATTCTGTGATTTATGTTTTCGCTAAAAAATTGAACCTTGAAACATCCATCTTAAATCGATTATTTACGCACTAAAGCGAATCCTATCTTTGATTAAAAAGAAGCAAATGCTCCCGTCCACACTCCTCTTACACGAAACCCAACAATAAAACGCACTAAGAAGCAATTTATTCAAAGAAAATCCGCCCTAAAGTTACAAAAGGACTAGGTATATATTACAGTGTATGAATGTATAAAGTTAATCTGTTTAGTGCAGTTGAAAACAATAATGTGGCACATTAACTATGTATAGTGCAGTTTAAATTGTGCAGGCACTGGTAGTAAGCTCTTTATTACCATTTTGTAGGCTTCTTTAAAGCCAGCCTTTAGTCTTTCTTTGTTCGAGTTCAGTACTCGAGGTCGTTTGTTCGACCAACTTAAATTGAGGATTCAAGTTGTTTTTAATGTTTTGTGTATGTAAGTTTGTTATTTGAAGGTGTTGGTGTAACTGCATAACAATACGAGCAAATGTGCAAGAATTTAGGTTTTGTTGCACCAAAGTTACGAGTGTAGTTTTGGATATTTAAGGATCGGCAAGGGATGAGTGGAGGGGTGAAGGGATTGAGCCTCCGGTAACCTCACTCACACCTTACCGGTTTTCTGTGAGGCCGTGGTATCACTCCGGTCCAGCCGACCCATTCGTCGAAGCATGGCTCTCACACACAGGTGTAGCTGATTTGTCATAATGACAACAATTTTAAAGAGAACGATTTCTTCTTGTGTCGTGGTATGTTAATGTACAATAAATTTTTGTTGTTAAAATGTAATATTAATTTATTTTTAGAAAGCTGCCACCTATTAGGTCACTTTACGCTTTTCTAAAATATTTCACACTTTATACATTATTAGGTATATTAGTGTAGGAGAACCATGCTTCAGCACTAATAGGCAAGCTCGTAGAGGGTGATATAAAGGCCTCACAGCAGTATACCGTAGTGTTTCTATGGGTAAAGATACCAGAACCGCCCCCTCCTCCATCGTCAATCTGCTAATTCTGGATAGTTGCTCTCCACTGGTCCTTGTATCCTTTGTTAGGCGGATAGTACCTTGTAGGTTGATCTCCAAGGTGGTTCGAATCAGATCCTTCCATCTGGTTGTGCTGCGTGCTCTACCGGGAAGGTGGACGGTAAAACACCATTGTTTTACCGTCTACCTTCCCAGTAACCATCAAGACCCTAATAATCCACAAAGGGTCTGTATAGCACTTCTTGCAAGACCTTTGGTGTTGCTGGTGTCCATGAGGCGCGTATTGCTTACCATCAGCATACCCGCGTACTCGTTTGCCGACTTATCCTATAAAAATATAAAGGTATGTATTTTTATCAGAGGGCAAAGATCTACCAAAAAAAGACCTACATATCATCAGATTTTGGCACGAATACGTTAAACCATAAATGTTATACCATCATAAGTACAATAACCGCCCATAACATGTACGATTGCGCATACATTTCATGTGGAAATTCGTACAACACAATAACACTTTGCATAAAAAGCCTATGTCGAGCAATGCAAACTCCAGTTTTACTACGATAGTCGGGTCGCGACATTTCGGCGATGCAGTCAAGTTTCCGATGTCACTATTAGCAGAAACACAGAAAGCTAATTCACGATCTGTCGCAAATTTGCACATTTTTTCGTATTTACAGAAAAAAATGGAGTTTTTACGGAAGTCAACGGTAACACTTACCAAAAAAAAATGTTTATATGTTTAATAATAATTTCAAGAGGCAGTCCAATTCTTTCCTACTTCCAATTGCTCCCTCCCTCAATATCCAAAATCCTAATCCTCTAAAGGCAACGCACTCATAACTTCTCTGGTGTTGCTGGCTTACAAAGGCGCCGATTGCTAACCATTGGGTTATAAATATTCGTATGCGTCTAAAAAATTAATTGTGACTTTTCGATAAGCTATGTTGGCAGTTATCTATTGTTTATAACTGTATTTATAATCGATCTACATCTCTCCACCACAGGTTAGTTTGTAGTTCATGGTTAAAAAAGTTTAGGTGTGAACCTTCGGCTGCCTCTGCTAAGTGACTGCAGTGTTTGAATCATTATGCAAGGGTTGGCAACGAGCCAGCCACCGACAAACAGCCTTCCAATAATGTATAATGAAATTGCTGAATTGATGTAACTCCACCCAACCTCGCCCCGCCCAGATATATTTACTTCATTGTTTTAGCTTTATTTTGTTTCTGAATGTAAATTTGAAATTATGAAAGCAGAGAATGTTTTCATACAGAGTGTTTCTGTGAACAGAAAACAAAAAACTTGTGCCATGCATTACAAAAAGATTAATAGCGGAAAATGCTTTTAGCACTCATCATCATCATCATCATCAGCCTATAAGTGCCCACTGCTGAGAAAAGGCCTCTTCTCATACGGAGAAGGTTAGAGCAGTAATCACCACGCTTGATCAATGCGGGTTGGCGATTTCAAACTTATAATTAGAAATTATAAGTCCAGGTTTCCTCACGATGTTTACCTTCGCCGTATGTCAGTGGTGTCTAAATAATCATAGAAAGTACATATAACTCGGAAAAAGTCACATCACTCCGAGCCACCACGACGAATAAGCTTGCTTATGCTTTTAGCATTAAGTCCCACGATATGCAATTGTATATAAAGAATAAATAAATAAATAGAACCAAAATTGAAAAACACTAATGGATTCCGTTTACACCGAATGGCTTAAAGGTCAGCTGATGCAAATTCGCTTAACCCACCTGATTAGAACAGAATAATTCCGTATCTTAGCAATGTAGCAAAGTTTTGTTAAATTATTAATTAGAATACGAGTTAACGTGAATCGCCTGTCAAGTTCGTGATAGATTTATGATGACATGAAAGTTACTTCGTCGCCACACTTACGCATACAAATTGCACCCAAAAGAAGTGAAGTAAACACGATATCTAACTTTGATTGCCATTGTGATTTATTTTCATGGAAGCAAAGCTTTCCTAGCTAAATGCCAAATAAGATTTTACACTTAATAAAAGTGTGCTAGCAGCTACAAATTGCGAATTCTGACTCCCCCAACGTCTGGCATATGACAAATGTTTTATTGATATTGGTCATCATAATGATGACGTGCAGTTAATATCAAAATTGTAAAGAAGCCGAACAACCTCTGCCTCACAGAAATCCAGCTTGAATTAACGCTTGCATCGTATTACCGTATGTATGTATGGATGGATGGCACCAATTGCTTATGATCAGGTGTTATACCTGCATTTTTGGCCCCCCAGTACCATAAAAAAGTCCTTGAGATAACGAATTCATCTATTATTTTCTATACGAATTTACAAGGTTCCACGTATTATTTTACTGTCTTATTTTGCTATCGGACGAAAGGTGAGGGATCTTCGCAATATATCTAGATCAAGGCAATAACTTTCTATTAAGTTTTGCTAAAGTAGTGGTTGCAATGGACGTGAAAGCTTTTCAGCTCGCTCGCATCCTGGCTGTGGGTACGTAGCTACATTATATACGTAGTTATTATATATAGTATGTTGTATTAATACTACTTAAGTTTCATTTTTATGTAATAAAAAATGAAACGTTGCTCCACGCTAGGATTTCCTCAAAGTCAAAGCCATAACCATTGAACTATTATACTTACATATACTTTTGAAAGGTGAAATAAATAAAAGGAATTGAGAGTTTGTTAGTTTGTCTGTCTGTAAAGCTAGGTGCTCTCCTGTGGATGCGTTTACAAGGTACGTTTAACCTTCCCGTGGATGTCAAAAGAATAAAGGATTACATATTTGGCAGCAACATTGCCTTCTGTTTTTTTTTAATTATTATGCAAGGAGCCGGCTTTTGGCATGATAATAAGGGATGACACGGCGTAACACAGACTCTGGCAAAGAATTTTACTTCTTGCCAAGTGGCTGTAAGGAAGAGGCAGTGCTCCAACAGTGAACTGTCATACGATTTTGATGGTGATGTTGAATCTTGAAGAAAGCAAATATAATAATTAAAAAAAAAGTTAATTTATAAACAAATGAAAATATGGAAATGATTATCTATCAAAGCATTTCGTGTCATCCTATTTAATTTTATTTCAATTGTAATTCTTGTACAATAAAATAAATCTATCTAACAATTCTATAAATTCAGTTTTCCTTAAACGTATCTCTAGCAAGATATAACATTTTTTTAAATTAGTTCTAAAAATATTTTACAGTCTATATCAATAAGGCATCGTTTTGCATAATTCATAATTCCCGGATATTTGAAATATTATGCTAATGCACAATTCTTTTCATAGAATAAGTGTAGTTATTCTCCGTCGACGTTCAGCCGGGGTTGCGGAGCAAACGCAATAAGGAACCGCGACCTCGGCCTGGAGAAGGCGTAGGTACGGTGTGGTTTTCAGTCAGTGAGAGTCTGACACTCTTGCCTCATTCGAAAGAAGTCATTTGACAATATCTTACACCCCTCCCTCAAAAAAAGTAGGTACCTACTAAACCATTTCCCCTTCATTCCCACTCTGATTTATTCTGATTGTGATGGATAGTAAGAAAACTTAATATTTGGTCATTTATAAACATTCAGTTAAATAATATGTAGGTACTGGCTTAGATTTTATAGACTCGAAGCACTTGAAGAGACACCAGCCATCACTAATATTAACTGAATATCGTAATTTCTTCACAAATTTGGAGGATGTGGTGGAAATTTTAATTCAGCTTATAGGCACGTGTCCCTGAAGAGTACACCCATCAATACAATACTTATGTAACGTATAACAACATGACGTTGTTTTTATATATTATTGCAATTCTATTTGATATTTTAATATTTTTACTTCTATATTACAAACTCAAGCTTTAAAAGTTTTGCAAGTCCAGCAAAACCAGGCGACATGCACAAAACCAATTAAACTTAAATTCCAAGAGAAATGTTAACGAACAAATATAACATGGCAGTTTCGGTTTAATGCAAATGTACTAAATTGCATTTTCTTGCATTTTTTTTTATAAGTAACCCTTTTTTGACTGGTGTAAATCTTCCAATGTCTTTTCCGGCCCTGTGCGGGGCGAGTGGGAATGACAGACTCTTACTGACTGAAAATCACTCCTATTGATGTTCAGCCGGGGTTACAGGGCGATGCGAGATGCGCGACAATGCGATACCGTGGCCTCGGCTCAGAACAGGAGAAGGAACGGATGGCAGTTTAGTCAGTAAGAATCTGACATTCTCTCCGCCTTACCCTGAGCGGGAGAAGTCATTTGATAATTTTGTCCTGAAAAAAACCATTCCTTCTCGTGCTTCAGTCCATAAAATAATATAATGGTTTTGTTTGTATGGTATTTTCCTTTTAATGAAAAGTGAGTTATCTTATAAGGTAGCATTTAAATACATACTTAATAAGGTAAAAATGTATTTAAATGCTACTTAGTAGGTGTTTCAGATTGGGGATGTTTCAGATATAATGCTATCAACTAAGTATTTTAATTGGAAACCATCTTGAAAAAGTTACTTAGATATGTTCTATTGAAAAATATCTATACCTGATTTTCTTAATCCAGCGATACCTAGGATAAAGCGTCTAAGTTTAGAAATGCCTTGTACGTAACGAAAAACCAGCCCAGCTTGAGATAAAACAGTTAAAATTACAAAGGTTTTCTGCAACTGCGATTACATTTCAGCTTATTAGAGTTCCAATATTTGCTCTACATATTAAATAGGATTTTTCCTACAAATCCTCGCCGGATTTAACAAATAGGTTTCTGTAACGCAACTAGGGTGACATAGTTTTAGATATTAGATGGACTTTTTTCACAAACAATATTGACAAGTGATCACATTATGTAATGGTCCGATTTCTGCAAGAAAAAACTCTGATCGCGATCTAAAATTCGCTCTTCTAGATCTGTTATACGATTTGTAAATGCACCCACAACCCAAAAACGAAAGGCTTAATATAAGTACCTACTGTTTAAAAAAAATCCGTTAGAAAATATAAAATAAAATACTCTGCATTTTGAAGGGAATTGGTGCGTATTCTATGTTTAAAATGTAATGTTCTAAATATTTGAAACTTAATCATGCCCTAAAACAGCTGGCGCATTGCGGCTTCCCCATAACCGGCGCTTCATTAAGTAATTTGTACGGCCGTGTTTCACGAGAGTTCAGGTTTTTTAAGCTTTTTCGTAGAAGTAGGTACTTTATACCTTTTTGCTTTTACCTACTTTCAGTCATTACGAAAAGATACTATATAACTTCTAATGTATGAAAACGTACCCAAAGTTAATTATATACTACGTTTTATTTCCTTTTGCATTAATAATGGACTCTTATTTCGTGATTTGGAAGCTATCAACCAATTTTTGTGCCTCTCTCGAGTAAGGAAATCCACATTTCATAAATTATTTTTTGTGTGTGTTGTGAATGACAGACAATGCGATTTTTGAAGCTATATATACCTTATTAATATTATAAACGCATACAACGCAACAAGTACAAGTATTAACGCGTTAAGTACGGATTGGGCAATGAATGTTTGTTACTCTTTCTCGTAAAACTAATGGACGGAATTGAATAAAATAACCAGACATAGATTATATTCTCGAATAACGCTAAGGCGGCTTTATACCCTGGTACCTACTGCAGCAAGTTAATAGTATTGCTTAATAAACCAAAAATCTTCTTCGTTAAACCTCAGAGCTTTTGTACATTATTTAGACCAAATTACCAGTTACAGCTAACACCGATCCATCATAGAATTCATCGAGTTTTTCGAAATGTCCTTCACTTTGATACAAAGATGTTCACTCTACAACTTATTCAGTAATTTACTTGCGTCGTCGTCAGAATCTAAAAAAAAAGTGGCTATTTGGATTCCTATGATACTTGTCCTGCGGAGGTTTGATGAAGGAAATAAATTACCACTTGAAAAAAAAACGTGAATTTTATCACCTGTTATTAAATTCTCAGAGTTTTTAGATATATTACAGCAAAATAAACTGATTATGATTGCACGATTAGCGCAGCGGCTGAGTAAAAGACTGCTGTGCAACGTGTCGTGGGTTCGATTCCTGCGTGGGCGTGAAACAACCACAGCGTTCTGTTTCGCCACGTGAGTGAGGTTACCGGAGGCGCAATCCCTACCTTCTCTCCATCCCTTCCTAATCATTAAGTAACCGAAACCCTTATCCCCAAAAGACCGGCAACGCACTCGTAACTTCATTGGTGTTGCGGGTGTCCATGCGCTGCGTCGATTGCTTACCATCAAGTAATCCGTCAGCTCATTTGCCTACTTATACCATAAAAAGTGTACGTTTGTAAATGCACCCACGACAAAGGAGAAAATTCTAGTATGGAGCAACACTTTCTCTATCTACTAAAATTAAAGTAACACTTCAAGAGTAATAATTTATATTATCTTTATTTGCAAACAGTGCAGCTATACACAACAAATCACGTACTTGGCACACTATGCACTACGACTTCTGAGAATTTATTAAAAGTACCTATACCTAGACAGTTCTGCGGGATTTTCTGACTTATTCACTTAGACATTTTATACCGCAATATTTCTAGTAGGCAAGTACCTACACTTTGTGCTCACACTTGGGAAATATTACTGGATTTTTCGAGAATATCCTAGAGTTAGTTACTGCGTGGTGTTCCTATTCGCAAGGGAAGCGGCGACCCACTATGTTTTACGGCCAATAGCAACGCAGATAGCCTATCGACGACCCAAATAGAACACGTTCTATTTACAAAAAAAAAGTTCGTTTTTATTCCATCTGTATTTTTACAACTTTGTTTAAATTCGTCTCCTGTGTGGGTATAAATAAGTGTGTTAAGTGTTAACGTTTTATGTACCTACAAAGAGGTCAAAGCCTGATAACAATTAGCTCTGCCAATTTAAAAGCTAGATCCCATACTCAGCAGTATTAAATTGGCAGGAATGGTGGTTGCAATCAAAAGAATATCTTATTAATTAAATGGTCTCCCATTCAAAGTTAAAATATTTTAAATGTTGTTCAAAGATATCTCCTAAAAATCTCCTCCTTTTATTTACAAATGCATTGTACAACTTGGCATAAAAGAATAATTGACGATAGGCAAAAAACTACTGACAAGAGTATTTTTTTCTTTTCTTTCTTTAAAAAAAAAACGTTGCCTGACACAATGTTTTTCTCCTGTGTCGTGTGTGCGTTTACAAACATACAAATTCACATACACAACATACCCAGACCCGAAGCAACAATGTGTTGTTCCGTGCGGGAATCAAATCCACGACACGTGGCACAGCAGCCAGTTGCCCAGCCACTGGGCCAACCATGCAGTCGAGTGAATTCATTTTAATGTATTATTAAATAGGTTTACTAAACATAGAACCATCGTTAATTTTAATTACAAAATGTACATCTACACACAAATCTTAGGTAAATTCCAACTGTGCACTACCTTACACTTAAAGTATAATCATAAAATAAACGTTGTACATACTAGCGGCTGCCGGCCCATATAATTAATAAGTATATCACACATCGCATCATAACCAGCCTATACAGGCCCACTGCTGAGCAAAGGCCTCTTATCACATGGAGAAGGATTGAGAATTAATCGTGAAGAATCGTGTTTGTTTCTTTCATTTTCTTTCCCCTTTAATTTTTTTCTAGGACTCTGTTTGCTTGCATCGCACCAACTGCAAGTATTATCTGTACTGCCCGTACAGATAATACTTGCAGTTGGTGGTGGTGGTGGTTATGGTTGACTGATAGAGAATGCCTTAAGGCATGAGGTCCGCCTTTCAGACTGTTTTGTGTGAAGAAGAAATAAATAAATAAATAACTCGGAAAAAGTCACATTGGTACTTGCCAGGAGTCAAACCCTATAAGAAGCGGGCGCCTTAATTTTCGGGCCACCACGACTTAATAAACCCTCACCTTCTTTCTGCAAACAATCCCAAATTAAAGACTTATATTTACATCCATCAGAGTATATTTATCCTGGCCAATTATACTCTTCAAGAAGAATAGCCAATGTTCCAAATTGTGACCCATCCAGCTACGAAGGACCGTTTCTTATTTTAGAATGCATTACCAGTCGGCCGCACCCTTGAGCCTGACCTTTAACCTTGACCTAACATGCTGAATATTGGCAACTGGGTATTATTGATCGGAAATCAAAACTGAATCAAGAAACTAGACGAAATTATTATACAATATAACCTACAAAGGTTAAATATATGTAAATGCATGCTTTACTACTAAACGAGCAAGTCAAAGGGCGTGATGCGTTTTTATTTAATTTAAATTTGAAATAAGAATGTATCACACATTTGCGAAGGTCGTCAGCGTGGTCAGCTCTCTGTGACTTCTTTTGTTTTTAAAAACTCGCTGTTTTGTCGTAAAAATAGCAAATTAATTACCTACAAGTACAAGTAGCAGATAACATGAATGTATGTAACACAATATCTCTTATATATAAAGAAAAGAATTACTGTTCGTTAATGTCACTAAAAGTCGAAAAAGGCTAGACCCATATGGCTTACTGTGGTCTTGAAATATTCCTGTATATACAGAAGAGGTTTAAATAGGTAGAAAACAAACCAGAAAAAATATAGTTACATTTAAGGCGGTACAAAGTTTGCCGGGTCAACTGCTTTTGAATAAAAAATATTATTTTTTAACTACACAGCCTCAATAAAATATTGCTTCTAGTTTTTTCTAACGTTTCACAAAATTTCGTGTTGCAAAATTTTTGCTAAGCGCCGCGCCGAACTACGAAAACCGTTTTCAGAGTCAACCACGCATGTAAACTGCCCAGCCAGCCAACAAAATTGGGTCAAATATTACATATTCATAAGCAATTTAATTTGTACGTTGATACCTTATAAACGATTAAGAAAATGTAATGGCTACTCGTTCATGTTTTAATCAATTCACGTTTTGAATATTTATGACGAGTCAAAGGATACTTTGTAATTAATTAGTTACACCTGAAAGGCTTAAGGACTTTCATGTTGATTTACCGTTAAAACTCTGTTGTGGACACTTTAATGAGCTTCAAAGAAAACTGTCAACTTTGTTAAGTACTTATTACGAATTGTTACGGTCCAAAATCCAAGCGCCGAAGACTGGACAAAGTGATTGTTTAAGCTTTTGTTTAACTTGCAATGTATATAGGTACTTCTGTATGTGAAGTGGAATATTGCAACAAAATTTTGAACCAAATATCTTCAACCGATTGAGCTGAAAGTTTGAGGACACGTTTAGATTTGTATGACAATAAATGTTAAGCTTATTCAAATCCATAAAACTACTTTACCATAACCACCATATACCATACCATACTAATAAACAACTAAGGAATTTATTTCCATGATTCGTGATCCATCTTAATTTTGTAAGAAGAAATCCAGCAATCATAGCGTGAGAAAGCCAAGCTTCGGCACGAATGGGTCGCCTCGACCACAGTGATACCACAACCACCACGGCCTACCATAGCGTTGTGTTTCGCCGTGTGAGTGAGGATACCGGAGGCCCAATCCCTATCCCTTCCCAGTCCAGCCCAAAAGGCCGGCAACGCACTCTTAACTCCTTCGGTGTTACGGGTGTCGGCGACGCCGATTGGTTACCTCCAGGTTATCCGTCTGCTCGTTTGCCAATTTATTCCATAAAAAAATTAATTATAAAACCATGTCAGGATAGCAATTTAGTTATCTTGGTTGCTCTATCTTGAACACATAATATGAACCTTTTAAAACACTAAACAATATTTTCTCTTGTGTCATGGGACAAATAACGTATCATTTTCTCACATACTTACTTCAATCCCACTTCAATCCATAAAATTATGAACATAACGAATTATTCTCTGCGGTAATCCAGATCGTATCACAGCAACTTGTCGCCCAACCAATTAACTAGAAAAAATAAAACGCGACTATCTCAAGCGTCCATCGATGACAAGAAATAGCAAACTTCGAAGGCTTGAAGTGTTCTTCCACGCTCTCAACTAAAGCTACACGAGGCTCGAACTATCAAAGACGATCTGCCACAAAAGTGGCGAATCTTGTCGCTTGAACTTCGATCTCCTTGCAATTAATACCGCGTCGTTCAAAAAGCGAACGTGCCCGCCATCTTAATTATTCAGAGCCTCAGAGGTGTGAACTCGGAACGGTGAGTGGTTCGTTAGTCAGAAGCCAATTAACTGTAGCTATCAGAACGAACAGAAATATTCGTTTCGATGGCGGAATAGATTTAATAGATACCTACCTACTATCTTTTATACAACGTAACTATAGATTTTTAAATTCTATATTTAAAAGTATATGGGAATAAATGTGTTTCCTCGCTACTTCATGACATTTTTTCCATGAAAACTACTCGTGTCGTGTGGTGAATAAATGTAATGATGGCTATTTATTATTATTTATTTATTATGGCTTAAAAGGTACATTTTACATTATAAAAAGTATAAAATGTCCAACAAAACTGTATGCACAGTTTGTCTGTTGGATCAGATTTCAAAAACTAACTTAATAGAAGTTATCTACTTAATAGGTAACTACTTTATGTGTGGAGCAAGAAGAGTTTTCTATTGTAAATACTTTTATGACTGTGGACTACTAATATGGACCAAAGTTCAGTCGATTAAGATTGTATTGCAATATTTTTAAGTAATAAATAAGTAAGTATTTAAAACGTAATGTACGAAATCTCACTTAATAGCGATGAACAACAACACAAAACGTTCAGTTCACTTCTAATGAACTGAACGTTTTGTGTCACTTCTATGTCACTGTCTTCTGTGTCACTTCTAATGAAAGTTGATCATTAGACAATGTAAGTAAATAAATAAATTAAATAATGGGGAACAAATATATTTTGTGGCAAAATGGCGACTTTTATAAATTCAGTAAATAAAAGGAAAATGGAACAAATTGATCTATTTTTATACCTACACAAAATTAATTAATGGATATGGAAACATTTGCTGATTCCATTTCTGAACATTTTAATTTAAATATCAAAGCAAGGAACCTACACAATTATAACGACTGTTGTGTTTTTTCCGAAAACAATACC